CAAAGTAGGCCCCTCCTGATAGGAGCGAGTCTGCTGTTCACAACCAGACAGGTATACGCCGATGAGGGGGAGACACACAGTAAATGAAGACAAAAACAACACGTTTAATATCAGTGTTTCCTGAGCTGTTCTGAAAAATTGATTATTATTATTGACAGCACCTGATCCACCCAGCAGGCTCTTTGCTGCTCCTGCAGAGTTTGCTTTTTTTTGGAATGACGCTTTGACAAAAACGCATTGTTTCAGTGTTATTCTCTCAGTAGTTTGCCTCCTCTCCCACTGAGGTATTCTGTATAGAGGAGCAACCACATAAACAGTTGCTCTGATCGCAGATGTGCTTTAAATCAAGCAATGCCTTTCTTCTAGACCACAGAGCTTTGCACGCCTTTGTTATTTTTGCACAGGCAAGCCTGTATATATATACAGCACTTTGCAAACAATGAAACACGGAGTTGCAAAAAATCCTAATGTCTATATATTTTTTTGTTGCACACACATATGTTTGTGTTTATAACCTCTCGGCACATGATATTGCGTGTGGCGGGAGAGGTGTGGTTAAGTTGACCCTGTCTGCTTAACAATTGTTTAGTATTATTTAAAACCCCATGAACGGTCCGTCTGCTGGCCCCTGGCTGGTGACAGGTCATAATCTTGTAAACATAGAACCAAATTATAGGGTTGTTCACAGCCTTGCCAATGGAGTTAGCAGTGTGCCTCGTAGTTCATGTTGCCAGGCTGGCTGTGCTGCTAAGCTAGCGCCAAAGTGAGATAATTCCAACCCTCTTGAGCAGGAATCTGCACTCTGCAGTTCTGCTTTCCATTCCTAAGTTATTTGCCTCTAAAAGTCTGCGTAGGTTTAGAGAGCACCTTGTTTTTGTTCCAGGCTCTGTAAAAGATATTTCCTGGTCGATTCTAGCTGTGCAGGCAGAGCAAAGCTAACCTCAAGGTGATCTCTGAATCATCCACAGGAACTGTATTTTTCCACCTCACCCCGCTGAGATATTTACTCCAGCTCACATGGAGATTTCAGGTTTACATCTTGTGCCTTTGCCAGAGGACACACCAGGAATGTGATCTAGCTTTGGCTAAGGTGCTGGTAGCTGCCGTTGGAGCAGGTGATTGAGTTCAAGTCCTGCACTGCTGCCTACGTCAAGACGAGATTTGATCTCTGCTTTTGCAGATAGAATCCCTTTACACCTGAGCTTCTGCCTCCAAACATTTTTTTTTAATCTGCAGAAACCATTCAGATGTGATTGAGAGGAGGATGACCCACTGGACTCTGAGAGAACAGTTATATAACGGGAGTACCTGTGACATAATCACACCACCTTGCAGGGGGTGGGCGCGCATCGGGGTGGAGGGCGACACTAGTGCTTACTAAAGGCGCTTTGGGCATGTGCATGATGTAACTCAGTTTGTGGGTAACTGGGTCACTGTGTTCAGTTGGGAAAAGCTTCTCTCCGTTCAGCCTCTGGCCCTCTGCAACGGACACATTCTGAGAAAGACAAACCTGAACACCAACGTGGCACGGAGCCATGGACGGGACAGCCAATCGGCGGGGTCTGACATCACGGTCACCACGGTGCCCTGCTGTGACAACTCTGTAAATAGACAGGGAGAAAAGCAGCTCCAGTCACATGCTTTTTTTTTATTTATTTTTTTTTAGCAGAGATGCTGAGTAATCACTGTAGACTCAGGAATTTAAAAAAAAAATGCTAGGACAATGACTCTCCTCCTGTCATGCACAGTATCATCTTTTCCATTCAGAATGAAATCCACTTCATCTGCTGTATGGTTTCATAAAGGGTGCTACAACCATCATACCATAGCAGCTGAAATGTTATTTATTCCATATTTTCGAGTAGATAAATGGTTTTAAAAATGTGTCTTATTGAGTAAACTGCTGTTCGATATCCGATGCTTGAACTAAATGTTAGTGTATCAGGGCAGCCAGACTGGATATCTCAGCCCAGCTCTCATGGAACCATTGAAATATTAATGCTGTTGGATCTGTTACACTGGTTATTGAGCCTTAAGCAGTCTACAGAGCTTAGCTCCACTTTTAGGGTCAGTAATTCATTTTACAGTGGCAGGAGGGAGCTCAAGCTTCTTCTCTTGCTCTTAATCTCACATAACACACCTCGCCCAGTCAGAATGATGCTGCGCTCTCATTCAAGCTTTAATTCTAATATTTCTACTGTGACTGTAAGTGCTTTTTTCAGATACTGATTCATTTGAGGGTGAAAATATTATAGACTTCTTTGTAAAAGGAGATGATATGAAAATGTGCACGTCATTTAGCGAGTTTAAATACATGAAGCCACCTGCAGGAACTATAGTGGGCAGGGCTGAGGCTGAGGTGAGGCGTCAGAGGCAGGAACAGACCGTACTGTCTAGACTTGCTCTGTCTGTCCACGTGTTTTGTAAGCAAGCAGAACTTGGGGGAGGAGGGATCGAGACTCGTAGAGCACCAAGTTCTTGTTTTCTGAGACTCATCAAGGCAGCAGCGCGTGAGCGTTTGATGCTGAACAGTCATGTTTCCATTGTGGCTTACATGGGAAACCAAAGAAACAAAGGACGTCTTCTCTTTTTGTGCCATCTATAAACATTCATGCATGTCATTATCTTCTCCCCTTCATGCCTTAAATCCTCAGGTTTGGCTTCGCACATAATGGTTGGTTATTTTTATTCAAAGTGGGAAACCCAGCCATTTTCTATAGGTCTGTGAAGCCGCGCCGGTGGCTCTTTGGTTGTTCAGAAACAAACACGTAGAAGAAGAGGCAGATGTTAACGCACACTGTTTAGTCAGTGGAAGGAAACAAAACATAAACGTACTGGTTTTAAGCAAATTTGATAAGTAGGGAGGAGGGGGAGCACTCATACGTGTTGAGTCACAGACACATGCATGTTGGAGAACGGGCTAGATAATCACTAGGAATGGGATTAGCATCTGGAGCTATATAATTAAACTGTGTCTGTTACTTCACTGTCACGCTAGCTTCTCGGAAACTTGTATCCACACAACATTGTTATAGCCAATTAGTTTCACGCCTCCTAATATTTTGTCCTCAGCCACTTTGTTGGGATACCTTTGTTTATTCAAAGAGTTACGAGCTATCGCTCACTGTGATGAGCTGCTTATCGACGTGCGAACATGTACGAATGTAAACAGTTTCCACTGGTCTCTTCTGAAACAGCTTAGCCTACCCATGTAATCAAACATGAACATATGCAGTGTGGGTGGCTATGACTTGCTTTGGCCCATTTGCCACAAATTACATATAGTTTACATTCCTGCACACCATTTTCCCAAGAATAATTTAACCTTTTAGGATTTAATTGCATTTTGATTGCGTTGTTAAACCGTTCAAGCAGCTACTGGCTCGCATTTATTTTACTACAGTATTAACAAGCTCCTTCAATGGAAATCACGGTAATGACATGTCTGTGTGGTATACAGTATACGGTAAAATGTTAGAAGACTTTATCAAAAACAAGAAGCTTTTTGTCGACCAAACACAGGAACCAAAAATGCCAGCATGCAGTGGATGGTTCACTTTGTCAAGTTGGCGCCAGGACATGAGGTTTATCCATTCATCCATTTTGTTTACCCGCTTCTCTATTCCCGAATACACGGAACAATCTAATGCTAAAAACACATTAATAGCTTTTTGTTGTCAAGTTGAGGGTGGGCAGATTCAGCCAGGAGAGCAGTGGGAACAGTGGAGCCACTTTACATCAGCTTAAATGTGCACAAGTGAACTGCAGCTAAGGTGCAGAAATGCATTGGTGAGACATAAATCATAGAACAGTTTTTTTTTGTGTGTGCATAGAGAAGTTTTATGAGTATCCCGAGGGGTTTTTAGAATTGGCACGTTAAGAAGTGAAATGTGTCTCAGTTAAAAAGTTTAATAGTTCAAGGAGAAAAAAAAAGTCTATTGCATTTTGAATTTAATGGAGACCCCCCCCCCATGATTGTTTTTTAGTTTTGCTAAAGATGAAAGCAAAATCAAGTCGTTTGATTTCAGATCTCAGGCACCTTTCATTTCCTCAGTGAAACCAGTCGTGACAAACGTTATCAGCCCATTAAATGATCTTTTTCACCTGTTATCACTTCACTTCTGCCTCAGCTTGCTTTCTTCCACAAATAGATCGTTGCAAGATCTTTCTTTAAAACTTTGGCTTGGAAGGCCGTGTTTTTCTTTTAAAGAAGTCCTTGTTTCATTGTAACTGCAAAAGATTCACCAGCTGGACGCAGAGTCAGAGATCAGGCAAAGACTGGGAGTTGGTTTAAGATGTTTTTGTCTCCATGCTGCACCAAAACTGTGTTAGCGTTTCCCAATCAGTTGTATAATTTATAATAGTTTTATTGTTGTAAGTCAGGGGTGCCAAACTCACTTACAAAAGAGGACCAAAATTATAACCTTTTTCAAACTAAGGACCAGTTTCAGAATTAACTCGAGTTAGATACCCAACATCTTTTCTTGTTTGCCAGTTCCTCAACAAGAGTTTGATTGGTCTCATTTCTCTGTTGCACTTTTGACATTATAATCAAAGATTACTGAAAAAAATTCAAGTGAAAAAAGTATTTTGCGTTGAACATATCGTCTTGGGGGCCAGATAAGATGTCAACGAGGGCCACATTTGTCCCCCCGGCCTTGAGTTTGACATATGTGTTCAAAAAGTGTTCAATACAACATATCTGACATATGTGTTGTAAATGAACAAAGGGAAATTAGAAAAAGTAGATGAAATTCAATATTTTGGGATTGTTTTGGATTTTCATTGTAAGCTCTAAGCTCATTTTCTTAACTGCTTTTTCCTTAAACGATCACGTTGAACCTGACGTCGTCCTCAACCAACGGTGAAAAACGACTTCTCCAAAAGGCAAAGTTAAATAAAGTCTGGAATAAATAATTTAAGTGAAATTAGCCCCACACAGCCAAAGATAACTGGCGTTGATATGTCATTGCTCATCCTTCCTGTCTGTATTTTTGCAGGCGAGCGGCCCTTCCCGTGCACCTGGCCCGACTGCAGCAAGAAGTTCGCCCGCTCGGACGAGCTCGCCCGCCACTACCGCACCCACACGGGGGAGAAGAAGTTCAGCTGCCCCCTCTGCGACAAGCGCTTCATGCGCAGCGACCACCTGATGAAGCACGCCCGGCGCCACTCAGATTTCCAGCCCGACATGTTGAAAAGGCCCCACAGCAGCAGCAGCACGCGCCCCGGCTCCCTCAGCGACTACAGCCGCTCGGACGCCTCCAGCCCCACCCTCAGCCCCACCCTCAGCCCAGCCAACTCGCCTTAAACTGAACCCTGGTCGCACTTTCCAGGCCTCCGGACTGCGAGGTCTCTCTTTTCATCGTAACACTTCTGTTGCACAGTTGTCAGCAGCCCCCCCCCCCCCTCCTCCTTCTGCTTCTCCTGTGCTGGCTGTGGTGTACTATACTGTACATAAGTGCTTATTGTAGTGCAATTACTTGTGTGATCCTAAAAGAAGATAATGCCTTTCCCAGATGGCGATATCTGCGTTCTGTACCACATGTCTGTACTTTTTAAGCTTCAGCTCATGGCTCGGTGGTCGATGTATGTTCACAGTTTAGAAGATAAAACCCGACACCCCTGGCAACTCTTATCAAAATGTTCTGTTAATTTTTTTTGTTTGTCTTTTTTGAACGGGTTAGGAGAAGGGGTACACACACACACACACCTCAGGATTGAGACAGTTGCTACTTCTGTCATAGTACTCACATTGACTGCACAATATACTCATCACTTTACTGGAAAATTCAACGGGAGTTGGATTTGACGCCCTGCTCAGGGATGGCCTTTGTTAGCTTGAACGAATGACCGTGGCTGAAGAGAAACACGCAGAACCGAAATGTCGCAGCCTTACACTCGAACACAATTTGCACTCTTCTGATTCTTTGTGTCACCTTTATGGAAAGTACACGCACATTCAAACGATGCTCATGACCCAGAACCTCTGTTCTCTTTTGTTGTTCGAGGGGGGTTCGTATGCAGTGTCATTTCTGTGTTTCAAGAAAACAATCAGCACCCGCATGCCTCAGAAAGCAAATGCCTCTGTCCCCTCAGTGCAGCGTTAATATTCACGGACATTAAACCAGGGTGGATGTGCACTGCATTCATTTGTGTAAAATATTTTGAGGACCAGGATTATGTTCAGTTGTTTTATTGTTTTTTTTGTTGTTGTTTTATTAAAGAACTTCTGAACATTGAAACAGACACAGATAAGTTTAAAAGCAGCTGTTTTGCATCTAAAAGATGTTCTCATTTGCACGTTCTTTACCCAAAAAACAAAGTTCATCCATTTTTCACACACGCAGGAAGACAAAAAATACCAAAGAGGAGTTATTGAACGTTTTTCTACCCTCACAGGTAGAGTCTGGCTCTGCCCTGGCTTCTACGGAGGCAGCAGCTGCACCCAGACGGCCTTCAGGTGGGAGTGTTAGCGTGCGTGTCCTTCCTCATCTGGCTTTACCTGTCCTGTCAGGAATTAGTAAAGCTCCGAGCATGCCAGGAGACATAAGGATTGCTCAATACAGAGGTCAAATTTTGGTGAAGATGAAGATCTGGGCAGAGGGAACACGGCAGATATCTGCAACAAACAGCCGAGAGGGCAGGTCCTGATAAAAGAGGTTTATCATGAGAGTAACAGCACAAAGGAGGAGACACCCCCATTCCTTCCTCCTCCTTCACAAACTTCCCCCTTCCTCCATTCAACAGCAGAAACAGCCAGCAGGGGAAAAAAAAATGGCTGTAATTAGTGGCTTGATCTAAACTCCAGGATGAGAGGAAATGAAAAATAGGTGTGTGAACCAGTTGTGTGTAGACAACACAAGTAATGTGGGTGGGAAGAACCCAGCTCCATTCGATAAGCACAGACAGAGGCCCTCTGCCTCTGCTCGGAGAATCAGGTTTTACAAGGAAGTTGAGATAAACAGCTGCTTTTAAACTTTGTCAGGCTTTTTATTGAACAGTTGTAAAGAACAGTCAAATCAAAAGCAACATATCAGTAAAAATAAAAATCAAAAAGTGCAGGGCTGCTCAGCCGTCCGGCATGTGAAACTCTCATGTCCCGTGAGAAAGCTGGCTCGTGTTTCTTACAAGTTAAAGGCAAAGCACCATCGAAGCTGCTGCATCTCTTTGTCATACATGTAGTTTCACACCGTCAAACGCTCCATGTGCTAAACCCGACTTCACCAACTCTCCTCTCCATCCTGCACTGGACGCTCTGTGCATGTTAACTTTGCCATTAGAGCAAAGACTTAAAAAAAAAAAAAAGCAAAGGCTCTGGCAGGTGTGGGGTTATGAATGTCAGGCCTTGTGCCTCCTTTTTTTTTCAGCAGCAGCCATCTTCCTTTTTCTTTATTTCTTTTTTTAGGTTGGAACCAATCGCATCCCCCAGAAGAAAAACAACATGTGTCATTTAGCTCGACGGCAGCGCTTTGCTCAAATCACAACTTGTAAGATGTCGTTTTCAGGCTGCGAGACGACACTCTGAAAGCCGCTTTGTATTAACTTTTTGTTCAAATCGCCACTGAGCACCTTTTTTTGGTTATAATTTTTTCACCTGATTTCAATTGTAACTCAGTTTAAAAAAAAATTCAAGGATTAATTAGTTTTTTTGTCTAATATCTGCACATTTTCCTCAGGGTTGACATCTGCCTAGCAGATACAGGACAGTTGGTGGAGTTTGTTGTAAAACAGGTCGTCTCCCTCGAGCCCGCCCGCCCGCCCGCCTGCCCTCGGTGGTGCCCAGTGTTCACTGCTGGTCAGTGTCTGAGCCCACTGGAAACACAGTTTGGGAACCGACCCGTTTATCTCGAGGACGCCCCGCAGTCCTGCTAGTAACGCACTCTGGCGCTGCTTTCAGTGACTCGCCTGTGATTGTTGGAGTGAGTGCTTCCATCTGTAGCAGTGCACACGTCCTGGTCCATCCAGACAGCAGAGTGACACGTAGGCGTCTCCGAACCTTTATTCTCACTGTAACAAACTTTACTTGAAAAATCTAAACACACAAGGCCATTGAACACACCATTTGTCCATTTTAACTCCATTTTGTTGTCCGAATCTACAGAACAAGTATAATCAACAGCATAATAGTTGGACTTTTAATGCTTATTTTATATCTTTTTTTCAGTTTAAATTCAGGTCATTTCAGTGAGTCCTTTCCATTTATTGCATCTTTTAAAATCTGGCTGTTATTTATTTTATTTTTTTCCAACACATTTTTGCTCAAATCTGACTATTGTGCTTTTTATACCAAGGTTTAATCCCTATTGCTTACATTGATGTCATGAATTCAGGTAAATCTAGTTAACCTATCTCAAAATTCCTTTAATTCACAAAAATAAAATAAAATAAAACTTTGGGTGGGAGGGAAAGAGATTTTTCTATGTATGTCAGTTTGAAATTCACTGATTATTTTCCTTTATTATTTTAGATAATTTTATGTTTTCCATATTATTGAGACCACAGACGTGTGAATTAGCAACATAGTCATTATTTGTATTATTATTAATGTTTTTTAAATGTTTTAAGGTTGTGTTGAAGTTTGTTTTACCTTCATATCTTTTCTGAACCTCCATCATGTAGCGTATGTTTGCTTAATGAGTAGCACAAAACTTTGTTGCTTTTATTTGAACCTACTTGAATGAAGAAGTAGATAAATAGATTTTTTTTTTCTGTAAACAAACAACGGATAAAGAAAAAAAAAACACTGGGCTAGATTTTTCATAATCATACCATATTAGCAGGTCCTGCATGTTATTCAAACAAATACAAGGAATAACAATAATATATATTTTTATTACTTTAAGTTACAAACATGCTTGAACCATGATATCGTCACAAAGACCTGCTTAAAATTAAAAGTAACGACAGCTAAAAGCAAAGTTTCTACAATATTCTGACATATTTTCTTCGATAGTCAAACATATATAAATAAAAACAAGCTAAGAGTTTATTTAGGAAGCTTATATTAACAGCAGCGTGTTAGGGATTCGACTGTCAGCTGAAGCACGATCAACATAACTGTGTGCCAAAATTAAAGCTTCTTAAAGAGGTTCACAACGTCAGTGGGTAAATAACGTGAAAAACAAAATACTTTTACAGTTTTATAAAGTGTGACCTGTTAAAATGTACAGGATTTAACGAAGCGACTTTGCATATTTCATATGCAGCTGCTCGAAGTGAAATATTTATCTTATTGTGTAGCTTTGCTTCATTCGTCCTGAAGCAGTGTGTCGATGCTTTAGGTCTTTTTTACATAAAACATAAGAGGCTCAGCCATTCCAAAGGATCTATATGTTTGCTCTGACCTGATGGTTGCGCTGACTGTGAGACTTTTACTCACTGTAGAAGTAGGCACGAGGTACGCTCTTTAAATTTTTATTTTAATCATCGTCCCACATCCCCTGGCCATTTTGAATGACAAAGTTACAGAGCATGTCTTCCCTCTTGACAAGGCCTGGAGCTTCTTTTTTTTTTTTTTTTAATTCAATGTAAAGTTTTCTTTTGTTGTTGTTATTTTAGGAGGCAGCCATAGAGTTATAGAATGGCTTTTGATTGTTACCAAATGCTTTGAAGGGAGAGATGAATGTTCTGAACCCAGCATCGTTTGGACTGATTGGGTTCAGAGGGTTTTTGTGTGTGTGTGTGCTGTTCATACGTGGATGTTGTGCTCAACACGGACCTTTTTCTATTCCTCCAAGTAGGCTACTTTTTTAAACTTTTGACTTGAAAGAAGAAAAGTCGTTCAGGCAAACCCACTCAGAACGAGTCTAAATGAAAGAGAAACGCTGATTTTCTTCTGCTTGAACTCACTGCAGAGAAAGTCTGTTGGATGTTGTTGCCCTTAAAGGATTTGTTTGGTCCAGGTTCTGCAGCTGATGTTCATTCAGCAGCTCTTTGGTTCAGTTTCCTGCACCTGTTTGTCCTCAGTGTACCTCAGTGTAACGTTCTCTCGATACCTCCGTGTGTTGATCCTCACCATCAGTTGCCTGTTGTAGTGACTCCACGGTGCTGCTTCCCCCGCTGTCAGCACCCGTATAATCTTTTCTGTAAATAACCCTTGACTCAGCTCTGGCCAGTACATTCTCCTTTGACCTCATCAAAAACCTTCAGGTGTCTCCTCATTATTGCTTTCTTTCTCTCAGCAAACCAAAATCACTACATTCAAGTATTACAGTTGTACAGCTCCTTGAAGTCTACACACGTTCTTTGTGCTGGTCTTAGCTGCTCGGTTGTACCTTTTTATGGCATTATTTTTTACATGTCAGACAGTTTATTGTGACCATGTCCTATGCAAATACGAAAAATAACAGATTGTTGAGTAATGTATGTTGTCATAACTTGTATGCATGATATAGTGAGG